GCAATTGAGCAAAATATGAATGTTGTGTTACATATAAAATAGTCAACAATAGCACGCCAAAGTCGCACTATAATAACTCAACCCATGTGTGTGCTGAGATTTCATGCCTTACTTGCAGGATGCAGCATATGCTCTTGTATGCAAATGAAGTTATGTTAAACTATATATTAATTGCTATTTTAGATAGATGCTCAATGAAAATATTATCCTTTTTTGTTTATTATAATTCTGTTATCTTCTCTTCAACCAAAGTTGAGGCCTTTGGTCCACACATATTGTTCACCGAATCAGAACAAAAGTGGTAGCAGGATACTCAGAAAAAACCCTTTTTTTTTTTTTTACAGAACTTTTTCATTCCCACGTATGTATGGGGTGAAAATAATTGACATGCACGTACGCAATTACCAAGAAGGTGGAAATAATTTAGAGTTTAATGAGAATAGGAGATTGTGCATTGATGGTAATATGGAATTCTTACTTACACGCAAAGGATACTTCTTTAGGTTATGGATAGTGATGTAATTGCATTGCATCCATACATCCCAATCGCTATTCATTTTTGTGGTTGTTTGTCGTTGTAACTTTGGATTTTTCTTTTAATGGATTAGCCTTTGAAACTTTTTCAGATTGTTTATAATTTCTTTTTTTATTGTTTATGTGTGTATTTCAATATATGTTAGATTGTTAGAATCATATTAAAATATAATTTAACATGATGTTGGATGAACTTTTATACGTTTAGTTTCATGGCGAAATATTGATTATTCTTGATTCAGCATCGATTGAATTGAATCTAAAAGAGTTCTATAGAATTTACAAACACTTACGTAAACATATGTTAAAATATTTTGAAACAGTAAAAACGTGTAACAAAATTATTAATGTAATTTGGTCTTATGTATCGTGTATGGTATTGAAGTCACATTTTAAGAAAACGAAGGGGAAAACCATGGGGACCACGTATTGTGTAGAGATGCAAATTGTCCATTTGAAAGACTTAGGTATAGAGATCAATACCCCACACTAATCAATTGATATTGCACAATAATGTTATTTTCTTTCATTTATTTAACAATTTGCTTTGTTTAGAAGCTTATGAAAAAGGGAATAGGCCCACTGATGAGATGAGCATGGTGTCCACAAAGGTGTGGTTGGGAGGACAAAGAGTTCCCTATTTATGGGGTTTGGAGTGCTCTCCGTGACATCGACCACCACTGAGAAAGGGTTCAGCAAACGTGCTTTGGGGATTTTTTGGCCAACTTCTGCTACATTACACACAAATCTTAAAATATTGTGATTATTTTTGGGAGGGAGGTGTTACCCAAATGTACAGCGTCGACATGACCACATTATTAAATGGGACCACGGCATGGGTGCTTCAATTCGGTCCATTCACCATATTGCTTCCATTAAATTACAATCCTGCTGCTACTTCACTATAATAAGCTTTCTCTCATAAATCAAACATTACTGGTCTTCAATCTATATTTGGATTCATATTTGAATCAAGGCAAATTTCAATTGTTCAATTAATACACCTGGACTTCGGCTTCATTCTAATAATATCAACCACTAAATTAATCATACTTTATCAATTTGGAGAAGACATAACATCTCAACGTCAAAAAAATAAATGTAAAAATTATAGACCAACTCAAAAATATATATGTAGATATAAAAGTCACATAAAATTCTATTAACATTTTTCGTTAATTTTGTGATGGAAATTATTAAAATGAACCTTTCAAAAATTTCAATAAATAAAATAAATCTTTTAAAATTTTAAAGAGTTAAAAAAAACTCTTTAAAAAATAAAAATACTAAATTAAAGTTAAAAATAGTATAAATGATAAAAAAAATAAGTTAAATGATGAAAAAGTAGAATTTTACCAATATAATTGCTAACTTGACTTCGTTTCAGCATAGATATACATGTACATATGCTATATAAACAATTCGGCTCAATCACCAATTCGGCTATATGTGATATATAGCCTGAATTGGCTGAATTATTATATCGAGTTAATTACACTTTCACATGTTTTAATTTTGCAACACTTTTAACATTTAATGAGTAGTTTTATTTTAATACACTGTTGATTAAAAAATTCTTATAATTTACATTTGAAAATTATTAGCACAAATCATAATTAATTATCATAATATAGCGTTGAGACAAAAATTACTCATTTCATTATATTTTAATGGTTCAATTTTACTAGACTTGAGATAAATAATCTATTTAATGTTTATTTTTAAGATAGAAACTGAATTTATGGAAATCATATTTTCTGAAAAGGTATGTATTAACACTGTATTGAATAAATTAATTTTATCAAAATTTTCTTTGAAAGTAATTCCAATTATCTTCTCACAAACAATAACCTAAAAACACAAAAAAAAAAAATAATAAAAAAAATCAATCATTAGACCGTTGAGATTAAAACATAAATAATGCTACCTTCGGATTCAATACATTCAATTGACGATCAAATGAATAATTTATACAAGAAAATATTCAATTGAATGCAAACGTTGCAACTAAAATTTCATCTGTAATAATTTCCATGCAAAACAAATTTCTTTAATCTAACCATTGAAAAGTTCATTTGAATATGTACTAAAAAAAAGTGCATGTATGAGTCTGCCAGCAAATTTATGAGTTATTCACTTTCGATAGCTTGTCAATTTTAGGTTTCTTCAGCAAGATACAGGTTGAGAGCAATCCACTTGAGCTTTCAGTTTTTTTTTTTGTTTACACTGTAAAGGATCAGGAGTATAGAAACCAAGCTTGAAACAATTGTACACTATTGCATAAGCAGTCGCTTAAAACTACTATCAGCGTTTCATTTTAAACGGTGGCAGATCTTCGTGACCCTACCATTTTGATCCAGAACTTACGGATAATTTAATATAATTATTTATATATTTATAATTTTTTCTTCTCATTCTTTAGTCATCTCTTTACATTTTTATGTTTATTTATTATTTATTTATTAATAATATATTATTTTTATAAAAATTCCGACTGATTTCAAACAATGATGACACTCGATAATTCCTAAACACAAGAATTTCATTCACTCCAATTCATTGGGATACTAATACTGTTATACACTATGACTTACAATTGATGCACTCTTCTGTACATTAACTGCAACTAAGTAATCAAACGATACAACAACATTAGATGGATGTATCATGTTAAGTACGTACATATAAACAGCACTAGTTGGATGCATCAGAATCGTCAGATGTCACGTCAGAGTCTTCTTCCTCTAGTTCATCCATTTCATCAATCTTGAGCGATCTACGGGCTGAAGACATCTTGCTAATTGCTGCCGTTTTGCTTGCTCTTTCGGAGCGACTTTTTACAGTGTGATGGGTGGTAGGAACAGAAGGTAATTCTTCGTCAGAACTTTCTTCCTCAATCCGTACCCTTCTCCTGGGACGTGTTGGCCTAGTTGGGGGTGCAGTTGGTGTTTGTGGCATTGAAACAGAATCATCCAAATCCAGGTCGCAGTCAAGTTCCATTTTCCCTTCGATATAAAAGGTGAGTGAAGAAATATATTAGCAATGAAAAAGGTTTTCAATAAAATAATAAGGCTAGGCATTTTTTTTCGTTTTAACCATCTTAGAAGAGAAAAATAAAGAATTACCCAAAATAAGATTAACATCATCTTGGAACAATTCCTGATCTGGTTGGCAATCAATTGTCATGAGACGTTCAGACATGCGTTTCAATTCTTTAACTAGCTCCTTCTCTGAAGATACACATTCAACCACGCGATACAATAGCTTCCTCATAAATTTTATTGGCCCTTTTTCTGATATCCGAAAATGAAGCAAAACAAGTATTCTACATAAAGCCGACACATATGCCTTCTCAGCAGCTGTCTTCTTCAATTGAAAGCCTGCCACCTAAAGAAAAATACAGTGTCAGAAGCGGAGAGACAAACAACAATTTATAATTAAATTTGAATCTTGCAACATTTCATTTCAGAGTTAACTATCTGGATACAAAATTCATGTATGTCAATTCATTTAGTGAAAGTTTTTCCTTCAACACTATAAACAACTTGAATAGATTTGTAGTAACATCACCCAGCTTTAGGTAATTGGATGTCACGCAACAATGAGCACAGGGTTAAAAGTAAAACCCAACGACCAATTACAAGTTTCTTGTATGTAGCTCAGGCTAGAGCTCAATTACAAGTTTCTCACTTAGATTAGAACGGGGTTAAGTAGACAAATTTCCTAGGCTACACAGAGTAATGCTCATTATTTTAATTTTCAGACTATGTGTTTCACATCCAACAATCAAATCTAGTGTCCACTGACTTTTGTATACAATGAAGCCTTAGTTTATTGTGGCAACTGCGAGATGAACAAAAAAAGCAAGGATTAGCGTATAATTAAATAACTTTAAATTCTAAATTCGTGTGTGATTACCTCTATGGCTATGCGTAGTGCAAGCCCCTCCTCACTACATTCAAATGGAACTTCTGAACAATTATCTATGACTTGTGGCTGTTCCTTGCTAGTATTTTCACAGTCAGGTTGAGTCTCTTTAACATACAATGGAATCTGCACCATCTGCAGCATAAAACGGGAAGCTTGAACAGCACGCTTACGCATCTGAGACACCATAAAAGGAGAACCAGCATAATTGCCAAAAATTCCTGGCCACATTGAACGCATTACTGGGATGAAACTTTTCGCTATGCACCTCTGTATTTGTAAAAATAAAACAATTAAGGCGTTAACAGACATTCAAATTCAAATAAAGTAAAAACTAACAATGGTAGACATGTAATACACAGAAAAATATGACATAAAAAAGCACTTGCCTTATGATTGGCTGAGAGACATGGGTAAAGCTCAAAGAAAACAGACAAACATTGCTTCAACCTGGCCGACAAGAGACAAATTAAATCTCAGGCGCTGCTAGTATTGAGAAGGAATAGTTCAAACATGGAGGAGAGGGAGATGAACAGATCTCACCTGTGCAAGTGTTCCGACACGTCACTGAAATGCAAGTAAAGGAGCTTTGATAAAATAACAGGATGCAAGGAGACCGGTAAACTTGGATAATTGTCACTAAGGAGAAGAATCTTCGCAAACCCTTCTCCAAGTATAGCATGCACGCACTCATCTTCGTTGGTAGGTAAAGGACTCGCCCAATCATCAATTTCAAAGCCTCCATATAAGATATCAAGCGTCTCAACATCTAAAACCTCCTCTGAATCAGAGAAGTTCACAGGACAAAAGGTCGTTTTCTCACTGTTTAGGCCTGGAATATTGAGCTCTAACACCTTGTCAACTTCGTGAGGACCATACCACATCACAAGATCAATTAATGCCTTACAAGCCTCTATACTGATTGAATGTGGCCCCTTAATGTATGAAATCCTCAACTGTTTCAAAAGCTCTGCACTTGGTTTCCTTTCCAAAAGGCCAAAAAGGCCAAGGCATCTGACTGCAATCCTTTGCACATCCAAGTGAGATTGTTTCGTCTGCGCATTTGATTTCCCACACCAATAAACAATTTGCAACAAATGGCCTCATGCATGTACCAGCATGGGCTGATTTGGCTCTCACCAAGCCATTTTCTAAATACCAAGGCATAGTGTGGTTTATCTATGTATTAGCCTCTATGAGTCAACAAGAAAAATGAGTCTATGTATCATTTCTAAGTTTCCTTGATATGTCATGTCAACATTTTGTATTATCATAATTCAGCTAGCCATGAGGACCCATAGCGAAGGAAGTTACATAAAAAATAAGGAATTCAATAACTATTCAAGATTGGATAGATTGATAAACTTATTATGTAGAGCTATGAATCACATTTTTTCTAATTTTTCGCCCCATTTTAAATCTTGCTATATATTGGTGAAGTTCCTCAACAATTTTTTTATTATGCAAGAATAAATTCCTGTTAAAATAAATCTGCTAAAGTTTATTAATAAAACAATAAAGTTAACTAAACGCATGAAAACCATAGGGAGAGATGCAACAATTTTTTACCCCAGGAAGTAGTAAGGTTTGGAGTAGCTCATCTGGTTCAATAGCCTTGCCCCGAAGTACTCGTAGTGATTTTGCATTTTTTAGCAAAAGGCCAGTTAGAGAGAGAGTGTGCATCCACTGCACATGATTTGCTGTTCTTTCCTTGCAAGGTTGGGCGAGCTCTTCAATGATTGCAAGAACAACCTCTTCAAATTCACCAGGAGCAGCATGGACTTTCCTTGCGAAACTGGCTACAGCTTCAGCCCAATCATTGTCTCCACCAAAACTTAATCCATCTCCAAGAACAACTATATTCCCTTCATCATCATCCTCATGCTCAGGAAACTTGCATATAAGCTCATGCAGAAATGCACCAGCAGCCTTTCTATTTGAAGCATCGGAAAAATCAAACATTGCACCGAGCAAAAGCAATTGCCGACTAGCAAAGCGATGGTTTGATCCTGAAAATATTCGATTACACCACTTAAAGTTTATATAAAACGGTTTTTGTGTATCAGAGTCATCCATATAAACTTATTCTCACCGGCATTTGTATGAGCTCTGACCAATTCAATATATTCACTAACTGTAGTGGGAAGAATTTTTTCAAGAAGGTCATTTTTATCTGATGCTTCTGCTGCATATACTTCTGCTTCAGTGCCCGTTGTTGCTGCAGCATCAGAACCTTTTGCCTATTGGGGGAAAATCATAATCCTTAGTGCTATGAAAACAAAGAATTAAACCCTAAAATTGCAAATTCGATTCCAAAAATTATAATATAAACGAATGATTAGAGCAGTAAGCCAGACAATTCACAAAAAAAGAAAAGCATTCTGATTTTATAATTTCTTAATAGCATATTCTTTGTACCAGTAAGATAAGCATTGATGTGCTAGCAAAATATAAACGTAGAGACTTTTATTCACATTTGTGAGGGAAACTTGATCCTTTCTCTTTTGAGAAATAAGAAAAACTCCCAGAAATTCACGCAAAGCATACCATGATACTGATTGATAAAGATCTTGTGGAAGTAGAAAATATGCACATTGAAGGGCAAACACACATAATCCAGATAAATTCTATTTTGCAGAAATTATTGACGCTAGCCTACGTTGCTTAATACCAATAACATAGGACGGATAAACAATTATATACAACATTATCATATGCTTCAAAGTTTAAAGTTAAAACCAATGAGAATGCAACCTTGTCGCTTTACAGATAGGTTAACAAATTCTTTAATATGATTTGGAACAGATGATCTAAGTGGCAATGCAGCATATAGGTTAACTTCAGAAGTCAGGATAATCTTCCTAAGTTCCTATTAGTGTTTTGTAACACGATCACCAAATAGCAGTGGTATGTTGACATCTTATGTCCGTTTCTTGCATTCAAACACCAATTTATAAGAAACAAAGTGAGATAAAACAGGATACACTCATTTATGGGGTTGCAATAGAGGTAAATAAATATCATAACAGGGTATATTCATTTTGACTCACGTGCGCTTCTGACTGTAAATGCTGGCAAACAGTCCTCCAATAAAGAGCAGCCTCTGCTTCCATCAGCTGAATGCTTGGTGGGCAATAAACCGAGTCTCCTACAATTAAAAATGGAAAACAATAAGTATGCTAAACAACAAAACCAGTTTAACCCTAATTTCCTCCTAGCAGTTAAAGTAGTTGGTTACCTTAACGTGACAGCATTCAAGAAACTATGTTTCCGGAGGGAATGAAATAGCTTAAGTTGTTCAACTACAAGACTGAAGGAACACAATGGCGCAAACCATTCCTATAAATTCTTTTGCTTTTTAAGCTCGTGCTTGAGAAACATTAAGTCGAATATACGAAAATTATTTAAATATTTAGCATCACACATACATGATATATCATCAACCTATCTTAAGCAACATGTACCCCAACACTCAAAAGGTAAAACAAATAAAAAACTGTTCAAACTGCAAATGCTTACTAACCTTCTATCCTGTCACCATTTGACGATATGCACTGCTGGATACTTGCACCATTTTGTATTTTTACTAAACCAGCTTTAAGAAGGGCCTCCATGACAGACTCACTAACTGATTCATAAGTTTCAACATCAAGATATTTCAGTAGTTTTAAAGGATCACCATTACAACACTTCGCAAGCCATTCATCTTTCAATAGTTTAAAACATTCCCTTGAGACAGCAACAGATCGGTCAGCAAGTCCTCTCCGAAGGATTACTGTCCTGAGTTTAATGCTGCAGAAACAGGGCAAATAAAATGGAAAAATATTAGACCAGGGTATTGCAGTAAATTGTTAGTGGAAAATATTAAAAGAATTTGCAATCATAATAGTAGGATATCCACACTTGGCGACTGTAATTATCGGATTCAATAGCACTACATATCTTCAAATTTATACTAAAAAAGGGGACAATAATCTTCGAAGTTATGTTGGAAATTAAGGCAAAGTCAAAGAAGAGATAGTATAACAATTACAATTTATTAGTATAACTATAATAGATGAAATCTTACAGACGATGACATGGATAGAAGACATGGAAAATATTACTTGTTGTACAATGGAAAAAAGATTGAGATATTCTAAGTTGTAGTGTGCATTTCAGGAAGTGACGTAACCACTAATGAGAAACATGAAAGGAGTGATTATCACTTATCACGATTTTACTGTCCATTATCCATGTGCTTACATTTATAAAAAACTAGAAAATTCATAACCCCAAACACATTAGAGGATCCAAATCCTTTGGGGTGGTGGAAACTAGTAGATACTAGCTACAATGTGAGATAATAGGGATAGGTCCTAGAATAATTATGTTTTACTACGCTGATAACTTACCTTAAGCTTTGAAGAGGAAATTTATTAGCTAGAACACAGTATGCTGCTTTGCGTACAGTTTCACTCACATCCAAGGTACAATCAATGATAACTTGAGAGGTTGCCGTAGAAGGTGGCAAAGATAGCATAATCATCTTCCGAACATCCTGCACACCATTTCAAAATTAATAACAGAAATACTACGTCTCTGCAAACATATACCAGCAATCCGAAATGTTCAGCACAGATATTTTCCATTCAAACACAAAACATAAAATTCTAGACTCCGTAATTAGATTAAAAAGAAAAAGAAATATCGATTAACGCAATATGGATTTAGTCAAAATCATACGACATATATCTCTTTTACTCAAATCAATGATTCAACAGAAAATCAAAATTTAGTGTACCCAAATAAACATAAGGTGAAGGCTATGAAACCATGCTATGGCCGTAGTGATATTACAATTCAATGCAAAGCCATGCTAATTAATGCCCAACAGAATATGCTGCTTTCGTCTAAAACCCTCGGTAGAACTTGCACCTAATCTAATAGAAAATTATTAAAAAACCTGAAGTAGGAGACAAAAACCCAAATAAACTTATTCAAATCACACAATTGATACAGACATCGAAGAAGGAGATAAAAAAGGTATCGACGCGATCAAATTGTAACACTCACCGCATTCTGTTCCAAAGGAAGCACCTCGAGTAACAGATCAAGGATGTCACTATTAACAGAGTCATTCACAAAGCGTGAAAGCGCTCTAACCGCAAAAGTACGCACCACAGGGATCTTGTCTCGTACCCTCACCATCATCCACTCTATCACCTCATCCCATAGCTCATTGCTCACTTCTGCGTCATCTGGAAGCCGCAATATAATCTACAATGTCAACCAATCGGGGATATTAACTATAATTTCAACAATCACTGTACAGTCTCATCTTCTGTGTAATTCTAAACCATTAAATTGTAAGCATTTTTCACCTTAGTATGAGACTTCATAAAACTTTAACGTCGGTCACTAATTTCGTGAAATTTCATGTTGCAAAATATACCAATATGAATAAAATTAAGTAATGTGTAGCAAAATTATAGTTTACATATTGCTCTGTTACCTCGGAGACTATCTGGCAGGCTCGGAATCTGGCCGTTTTGTTGGATGCCGTGGCGGCAGCAAGGAGGAACTTGAGGAAGTGGTCGAGGAACTCGTCGGAGGCAGCAGAGGCGAAGGCGGAGACAAATGAGACGACGCGGTCGGCGGAGGCGAGGCGCCTCTGGAAGTCGAAGAGAGGAGTTAGGGTTTTGGAGAAGGCGGAGAAAAAATGAGAAAGTGAAGAGGACTTGGATCGGAGGAGTGACAGTTCCTTGAGCTTTCGGTTGTGCGTGGCGTATGAGGTTCGAGCCTCGTCGAGTATCGCCGCAATTTTCAGCATCAATAGCTTCGCTTCCTCTGTGCCGTTCTCCTCCATGAAGATGAAGCGAATGTGAATGTAAAATGCGTGGGAGTGTGGATGAATTCTGCACTGTGAACTGAATCTCAATCCTCGTGTTCTAGTTTTGAATTTGAGCGGGAGTTAGAGTTTCGGTTGCTTTTCGGGCCCAAATTAACATGGGCCTGACGGCAGATTCGGCCTTAAAGTATACAAGGGGATTGAACAAAAAAATTATACTGGAACATTTTTAGATTGATTGAAGTTACAATTCATTTTTTCATAATTACATGCCTTCTTTACACACACTTATCTTTGCTTGATACTTTAAAAGAATAGATGTAAATAATATGCACAAAGAAGTATAAAAACTTTGAATACTTTCATTGGATCAAAAATTGTGATGAAAGTTAAATTGGTTTACTTTTATGACGAAGGAGCATCCAATGATGACACATCTTATGCTTATACCATCGATAGTTAACATTGACCCAAATGTTACTTAACCTTTATTGAATCATGGCTGAGATGAATGTTAATATTCTCTAACTCGACCACTTAAATTTGTATTTCCCTGCAAGTAATAAATGTTTTTCTGACATCATTATGATCACACAAAATAAAAATCATCAGAATTATGTCATGTATGTAGCCATGAGGCTTAGTGAATACCAACTTATCATACTATCCAATAAGTACGTCAGTTTCTGCCTCATCAAATTAGGTACATGTAGCTCTAGTGCTTTTCAGATTTGAACAGAGGTTAATTATTTAAAATAATGATGATATAGCTGTCACTGATTTTATCATTTAAAAAGTGCATGATGGTGTATTAACCAGGTAGATATATCCCCCCAACTACGTTGTTTCCAATGACAAACTCACTTATGTTTTTTTCATTAATCACATAAAAAAGTGATGCCGCTCAAGGACAAAAAGTATGCTTTGTGGATGAGCTCTATCCAAAATGATACTTCTTTAATGGTCCATGATTCACACTGAGTCATAGATTTTACTTTTAATTTGCTATAGATACTGGCTAACACTTTCAGTAGCAGAATATGTTCTATGGAATCTTCACGTACGAGCCTAGTTGGCAATAATAACTAGGTGTAAAGAAAGTTTGGTTTGTGAAAAAAATAAAAAAATGGATTGTTTATGTTTGATTACTTTAGCTAGATGAGTATAATAAAGACTTGAGTTTGGTTCCTTTCTAGAAAATAGAGATTAACTTATTTATAGTTTAATAATTTTTATAACATTTTAAAATTGGTTTTAAACTTTGTCAAATGAGTATTCAACAAAAAAAGTTCAATACTAGATGATAGCTTATAAAGAAGAAAAAAAAATACATGCTTATGTTGCATAATTCACATATTTATACTTTTATTATGGGATATAATAAATAAACAAACCATTATATTATATTATAAGTATTCATTATGATAAAGGTGTGAAATTTTTTTTATTTAAATAGGTGGAATTAAAAGGTTTAAGTTCAAAAATTTTAAAATTTAAATTGAATTAGATATATATATTATTTTGGTTCATTTAAAATGTTGAGGTTACCCTAATTTATAAGTTTATCCGTTCACTTATTTTATAAAATAATATTTTATAAAATAATATTTTATTAAAAATTATATATATATATATATATATATATATATTATAAATTAAATTAATAAGAGATATATTTATTTCAAGAATAAATATATGAATAAATATCTAACATCCATTTATTATTTTTATACTGAATATATCTCATTTTTTATAATTTATATATTAAATTCTTATTTTTCTAAAATAATCTTATTAGTATAATTTATATTTAAAAATATTATATTTTTTATTTTACTTTAAATAAATTTTCAATTAACTGTTTGAATATAAATATGTTAAATTTTTTATTTCAATCATATCAACATTTACTTGTTAACGCATTAACTTAATAAATTAGATAAGAAAAAAATTATTATCCATTTAAAAATATAAATTAAACATAACCATAATATTTTTTTCTTTTAATCCGCAGTGTCCATTTTTATAAAATCAAATTTGGATTTGTCTTAATTCTTAGTTCAACCCCAACCAAAATTATTATTTTTATTTTTTTTTGGAGCTCGCCTCAAATCAATATATGAAAAGTTCCATCAATTTAAATATGTTTTTTACTTTATTTGTGAGATTTAAAGCATACAAAATATTTTCATCCATTATTGTTTAATTTCTCAGCTAAAAAACAAAGCATTGCAGAGAAAATGAACTGCGAACAAAGTGAAAGTATATGAATGTAACAGACACATGGTTGAAGGACAGAAGAACAAAGGCTGGCAATGTCAAATTGGCAGTAGACGCCACATATTTTAGGATTTCAATAACAATAACAAGAGGTGAAGCCACTGTCATCTTCTACATACAATTTTTTGTCCTCTCGTGACCTCCAACTCCCCAAGTTTTTTCTATTTTTTTGGTATCAACAATAACAAGAACAAAGCTAGCTAATTGGTGCTTTCAATGCACTCCCCATACTTATCGGTTGAGTCACCCTAGAGATTTTCTACCCAAAATGAAAACCAGACTCAGTACTTTAATTTTCCGCACAGTGACAAATATGAGTAAAAAGACAAGGAACAATTAATGATCCCGCTCCAGTAGATGCAGCTCCTACCTATGTTCATGGCGTCATTCTCAATGTTGACTTACCCAATAATAACAACTATGATAATTATATCGAAAAAATAAAAAACAGAGGCGTTACTGTACCGTTAAATAATTAAATTGAAAGGGCTTGATTTTAATTTATACAAGATTAAATTTAATCTTTTTGTTTTAAAAATATTTAAGGAGAATTTCGTTAAAAAAAATATTTTTAAAAATGCCCTCGTATGGAAACATACTTTGAAAAAAGAAAAATGAATATTTTTAAGAATGCCCTCGTATGGAAACATACTTTGAAAAAAGAAAAATGATGACAATATTAATTGAAGCATTGGACTAGTAATTAGCCGTTTGCTTTCTCTCATTGTTTCTAATATACTGATTAAGAAGTGCAAATACTCGAATATTTATTATGTTTGTCTTCTTCATCCTGTTATCATCAATTTCGTCATCAATCTATAGAAAAATATTAACTCCTTTTCTCATAAAAATATATATATATTTTTAAATGATAATTATCAAACAAAAGTCCACAACCTCTACTATAGATTATTACATTCTCAAACGGCATAGCGTTTTATTTAAAAAATAAAATAAAATGAACATATGATGTCATCATTAGTTCATTGGTGATGGATCATATAATTTACTTAGATTTCAATGATGGTTTTTATTTATTTAAGCTAGATTTGAAAAATACAAGCAATTAAATGGGCAACTTCATGCAGGTATACTAATTGATAAAAGTATATTCTTTGATTGATAATTAAAAAAATTATGTGATGTTAGGACTAGACGCAGCAAATACATTTTTAATAATTTATGTTATTGTCAAGTTACCAACAATTGGAGCTCAATGGCAATGGAATAATTCACACAAGAGACGAGTTGCCATGAACAAATTGTCCTTTGAAGACAACCAAAAAACATGCAATACAATTTACCAGAGTTGACAAAGAAAAATATTTTAAACAATTGTATAGAACATTTTTTTCATTAAAGCTATGTCTTTAGGTGAGAAATATCTTACCTTATATTCAACATTTTATCCTATGCTCAATTTTTTTTTACCCTCTAATCAAACCCTTTTGATCACAAAAACATGCTTTAGTCGTTTCACTTATAACAATACTTAAGAGTTTTTCCTGAATTATTTTCCGGTTTACACTGGCGCTACTAGAATTATATTTGATTTTGCTTATGAATAAAATCATTTTTTGTTTGTATAGCAACCAATAACTATATTGCAAATTGATCCATATACAATATTTTTAATTAAAATACGTGACGTTTACACAATGCCACGAAAATAATTCACAACCGTCAACTTAATTAGAAAATTAAAAGGTCACTTTTCTCCCAAAATAAAATATATTTGGATTCCTTCCATATCCTCTGTTGACCCCAATCAAAATAACTTTGGTCATGTACTGTGAATCAACCACTAATTAAGGACCTAATTGGTTTAATCAGTTTCCAAATGTATATACAAAACGGAACGGAGTATTTCATCTCAGAAAAAAAAAATAAGTTTCTAAAGTTTAATACTTAAGATTTTTTACAGGCTAAGATATTGTTTTTAGGATTTAGACGATAAAAATGAAATTTTCTCAAATTTCAGTGACTAGAGCATGATAATTTTTATTTAAAAAAAAATCATAATGTCTCATTGAGAGTTTGTTCGGGTTTGTAATAGTTAATCCAACCACTGTAGAATAAAAACTACTTTTTGATCTTATTTATGCGGGTTTTTTTTTCTTTAAAATTTTAAAGCGAAATTGATTGTAAACATGTGTACGGAAGGAGACATATGTCTTATTAAATATTTTTTTATTTTAAAATAATATGGAAAACGGGAATGCTCATTTGTATATTTGTTTGAATAATATAAACAAAATATTTATGAATATCTTTTTATTTATTTATTTATTTTATCTGAACCGGATTTATTGATGTTGAGAGGGTGGAAATGTTAATATCTCATAAGATATGAGAAGTTTATTCTCTAATTTCATATTAACTTTCACTATTTATTTTCTTTTTAAAATCTTACAAAATACCAAATAATTATAAAAAACCAATATATATTGTTATAACATTTGAAAGTAACATCCTGAATATAATGTCCACGATTTTAAACACGTCACTTGAACACAACATCCTCAAAAATAATCCTAAATGTGCATAATCACATTTTATATCTTGCAATTTATTTATTTATTCACATAGCATAAAAGACTAAACCAATGATTAGTTTATAATTTTATTTTAAAGTATCAATATACATTATTTTGATTTATAGACTTGTTTAATTTAATATATTCAAAAATTGTTAATATAAGAGTGTTATTTTATTAATTTTCTTTTTTTATCACCAA